ATTGTGTTAGAGTCTTCCTCTGGAAACTCCACCTTACCCCACCTCCAACTCCACCTGTGGAAAACATGACATAGATCTCCAATGCCATTTGCTCATGAAGCCCTTTCCTGACCTTCGTTTCTAACTGTGGTTTCTTTCCTGGGCGTCTGCACCTCAGTCCCTTGTTTGCACCTCTTGTAGGTTGTATGGTGCATATTGACATCTTTGGGGATATGTCTGACCCCTGCCCCCGGATGGCAAGCACTGCAAGGCTGGGGACAGTGCTCTATTCATATCTGTATCTCGGTAGCCCCGACACTGTACTTGGCCCAGAGTAGACACTCGATACTCAAAAGGGAAGTTTTAGGAGAGCAGGTCCTGAAAACGTGGGGAACCGGGAACTTTCACATTTCCTTCTCGGCCCCTTCATCATTGTAAGCATTTTCCTTAAACTGTTTCACAATTTCCAGTTTTCTGACAATTTGTCAAGCACTAGGACTCAGATAACAGTCCAGCAATAGACAAGGTCTATGGGGAATATTGTCTCAAGATGCCTGCACACACAAACGAACACACACACATACCCTCCTTTTAAGAAAATACACCCACGGTGATGGATCCTACTGAAACTAGTGAATTCTGCATCAAGAGAATTGAAGGGAGCCGGTCCCACCAGGGAAGGAGGACAGGGGAGCCAAATCCGGGAGGGAGGAGAGCGTATGCTGTTCTAAGGTGTACGAGCCGGGGAAAAGGTGAGGGGACATTAGTGAGTGCAGGAGCACACCTGTCCCTTCCCTGCTAGGAGCACCGAGTAAGGATGCGGAGGTGGCTGAACGAAAGTCACCGCATCATTCACTGTGGTGCCTGTGTACCTGTTTAGTGACGTCAGTCCGTAGTAGGTAGGTGATTCTCAGGCAATTCACTTCTTTACAAGTTTGAGGAAAGTATTGCTTCTATAAAAACATTTGATTCTTGTGGCTCTTCCTAGTGCCTACTTGATACTCATGTGGCACGTTAAAGGGAGGGAGAGCGGAGGAGGGATTGCTGCCTGGTTAGGTCTAACGGGTGGTGGGGATGAAGTGGGGGATGGAGAGTTGTTATCAGAAAGTTGCTTTTAAAGAGTGCTTACAGGAGGAAACCAACCAACCTCAAACACACCAACAAAAGCAGTTCAATGCCCTCCTTTCAACGACCTCACAGTAATCAGGTGGCATGCAGGGATGTACTGGCCTTGGATTTGGTCCAGTCGCCTCAAGTTGCTGATGTAGAAACAGGTCCGGAGTTGAAGTTAACCCGCCCAGAGAAGCACAACTGGTTAGCGTAGGATCAGAGCTAGAGATTGGATTCCGGGTCCAGTTCTGCCTCCTCATACCTACTGGATGGGCTCCCTGATACCTTAGGGCAGTGATGGCGAACCTATGACACGCGTGTCAGAGGTGACACGCGAACTCATTTTTTGGGGTTGATTTTTGTTTGTTAAATGGCATTTAAATATATAAAATAAATATCAAAAATATAAGTCTTTGTTTTACTATAGTTGCAAAGATCAAAAAATTTCTATATGTGACACGGCACCAGAGTTAAGTTAGGGTTTTTCAAAATGCTGACACGCCGAGCTCAAAAGGTTCGCCATCACTGCCTTAGGGTCACCTTCTCTCCTTGCCCAGGCCTCC